GTTGCTGCACGTGTGGCTGCCCTGTAGCGGCAGCTACTAAATTGGGGGATGAAGAAGGCTGAACACGAATCTTCCCACTACTACTTACTACTAATCCCCTTGATGGGGGTATGCCAAACTGAGGGGAAAAGGGTTGCCATGTCGGCGGCAGCGTCATCAAAGGACTTGCAACCGTAGGGGGAACTACAGCAAACTTTGGTTGCGTGACAGGAGGTCGAGGTACCCTCAATGTGGTCAGAATCTGGTTCTGACCAGCTATCAGTGCAACCAACATCTCCTGCTGATCAGCTTGCACTTCCGCTACACTCAGCAAGGAGTTCCGAAGGGACTGAACCACAGGATCGAGAGTTGTCTCATCTATAGCTTCTAACTTGCTTAGCTTCTCTGCCCTTGACCCTAGCCTAGCTTTTCTAATCCTAACTCTTTCTCTTTTCTCCTCTACATCCTGCAACTGGCGTTGTAACTCATTGTGGAGAGTGTCCACTTCTTGGATCTCATAATCCTCTACTGACAGTTGTTGCTGCTGGCTAACCTGCAAGCCAGCAGACACACTAACGGAAGATTGGGTCATACCCTGAATGACACCTAACGAAGAGGCCTGAGATGAGGCATGTGACATAAGGCGGTAGCCATGGCTGCCTCGACGTCGACCCTAGCGTTTGCTGCTAATGCTGCTGCTAGTGCCCTTTTGGCGTTGAATGTTGCTTCCCTAGCCCTCTGCAATGTCGTCCTCTCTTTGGCTTCTCTCCTCTCCTTGTTCTAGCACTAGGAAAGTGGTCAGCCGACTAAATGCAAGTCTTCAGGTAAGCCTCCTATCGTCTTGCTCTAGAACCGCAACCTCACTGTCATATCCAATCATGAGCTTTATGTGGCACGCGATCTGCACTAGTGTCCTCGCTGGGACCTACCGGAGCATGGCATCCAACCAATAAAAATAAATAAAATAAATATTTGGTCCAGATTTTTCAGAAAGTAGTCAAGCGGTAACAGCAACTAATCTCTGATTCCTACAAACAATTTTATTCCTACTTTTGACTACTATGAAACAGATTGCGATGCATCAAGGAGTAATTACTACCTATTTGTAGTTGTTTGTCAATTGTTAGCAAAGTCCGTCACAACTAACCAATCAAAAATAAAAAATAAAATAATTTGTTGGTGTGCATGCAGAATGGAATTTATACAATAATGAACAATCAAACAATTACTGGAATCTTCTCTCCCCCTGTATCCTTCTTGAGTGGTCACTTGTATCAACGTCCTGAAGCTCGGGTTCAGTGGCGTGTCTGAAGGTGTGCAATCGGCCCACCCTTGTGCCCCAAGTCTATGCAGAACTGGCCAGCCCCAACCGTACTATTTTTATACTCGCGTACAACAGAAGTCGTTTATCACCACCGGAGTTTCTTTGTAGACGTTCCGGTACTCGTCTCTCCCTCATAGGGTTGGCCTGCCTGACAGGACCTCTACAACGCAGCATGCAGACCAAAGGAAAAGTGGCAAGGTATGCGTGTGCTAGTCCCAGCGGGTTGGCATGGTGACCGTGATCCGAGTGCTTTGTCCAGGGCCCTTCAGAGGCAATGCCCGTCTTCGACCAGCTTGCTCCCAGGAAGAATGTCGACTCTCAAGGTTGAGCACTGGCGACACCTCACAATGAGAGGACTCTCAAGACTGAACTCGCTTCCTCACGGTAAAAAGTAACGAAGAGCGTCGACAAGGTAAGGAGCAACGTACCTCATAATGTTTCCCCCAACCACAAATTTCTCACTTGTAACCTGATGTACATTTATGATGATCAGTCGATGCCTCGAATACAATGCAGTTCTACCTCGGCTTAAGTGCCACGCCAGCAAGTTCTCATCATCCAACGTGCACCCCATATGTCACCACATAGCCTTCCTGGTGCGCCCACACGACCCTGGGCCGCCAATCACCAACGCACAAGCGTTGTCACTGCCCTACCATATCCAACGAAGCACCAAACAGCTATTGCGAAGGAGCCAGCGCAGCGGCTCGAACTAGCTCTTATACCAAATTGCAAGGAAAATGAGCGATTGCAAAAATGACTGAAATCAAGAATGCAAGACCACATTGAAAGCCATCATGTCCAACATTGTTCATACAGCAGAAATGCACTGATAATCCACCAACGGAGAACCAAAGCACTGAATCCGAATGTCAATGAGAGCATACTCTCGCCACCACCAACATATGTATCAAGAGCCCTTCCTCCTACTTGGCGCTCAGTGCCCAAACTAAGATCACACATCTACTGGCAGCCCACGAATTCACAATGCATCCTATTGACGTCAGCAGCAACAAATGAAATACATGAAGATGTCGACCTTGTAGACCATCGCCAAGACCAGGTACGTGCCCTCACATCATCAACCTCATAACTCTCTCTCTCACCCTCAACTTCATCACCCACGTCTTCTCCCTTTTACACGAAGACCACCATCACCTTTTGCTGGTTGTCCAAGACCAAGACCGCCTACATGGGTTGAGCTATGGCGTTGCCCACAGCAGCGCCCTTTACCGCATGTGTGCACGCTTTTGCACTGGTGCTCGTAGCAGCACGTGAGCATCTACTCCAGCAGCGTTGTCGCTCGCTTTACCAAGTGTCTGAATATTCAGCCCGAAGCCCAACACTTTCCTAAATGGAAAGTGGCGGGCTCTTTCCCCTTGCTTCCTACGTGAGACCGAGTTTCCAGTAGCTTCAGTCTCGACCAAAGTGTTTGCGCCCAAGCCCGTTTAGACAGTGGCCTTGGACCGAATTGGCTAGGCATGCCCAACCACCCAGGCACAAACGAGCGGTGCTCCCTGCTTCGACCACGTTGCTGGAAGAGTCTGGAAGGCTCACAAATATTTTGGATTCTCACGAGCAAGGCGGATGAAACCAACTAGCGCGTCGCAACTGTCTGGCGCCCACCAAAATTTGCAAAAATTGACGAACTCAAGGCACATTGAGATTCAGGGGGCCGCCTTCATTTAGGGTGGGCACACTCCTGCTGCAGGGCCTTAGCTGAGGGGTAAACCCTCGCATCACTTTTTCTTTTAATTTTATTTTGGGGTCATGTGAGATACACATCTTTAATTTTTCAAGGCATTTGACCAAGGCAAAAAAAAATTAACAATCGTCAAAGATGGCGGTGTTTAAAACGTGCCCGCCCACACACTAATTTTAATTCTCTCTTCCTTTTTTATTTAATTATTATTTGTTTTTCGTATTTTATTTTTATTTCAAATTCGGTAAAGAGTTTGGACGAAACCCGAAAGCAAATATTATTCAATTTAATTTTTTGCATCAAATGTTCTGGATTTTTTATATTATTTTCTGTAGACTAACGCGTCCATAGGGGGGCGCGTCATTCGGGCATTCGGGTTCGGTCGTTCGGCCATGACCGAAAGCTGGATACCATGTTATCGAAAATGATTTTGATAATTGTATATTCTCATATATAGCGGTAAATAAATTTAAATAATAAAAAGTAATAAAGTTAAATCATTTGAGGCAAAGCCGCAAAGGTAAAAATTGATTAATTGCTCGAGTAATTTGGCAATGAAAATAATTATCATTACCAAAAGTGCAGCTTTTTAGTATCGATACTTTTCAAGTTGAAGGCTTTTAAATTTGCATATGTTAACAAAGGTGTAAAACAAGTTTCCGAAAGTTTGGCAATAGGATTCCATTTTTGGGGAATAAATTAAAGATAAACAATGGGGATGCTAAAAATGTTTTGAAAAGGAATGCCAAATTTTTGATGATTTTACTGTTTGCAACTTTCGTTTGGATAATTCACATTGTGCCTAGGCTACGGAAGTCGCCCGGCCGGGCGACCCGGGCCCGGGCGTGCCGCCCGGGTCCGCCTGGGTCACCCGGGCGACCGATTTTTTTTTTTTTGGGTAATGTTTTTGCGCTCGGCTTGTACTACCCGAATGTGCATTTGTGCACATTTTTCGGCCGGTTGCAGTCCATCACGAATTTCATTGATCAGTTGGTAACTTGGTAGTACAACTTGGTACCACCCCCCGCGGCCTGTTTCACAGTGTGTTAGATGCCTGGTACCTTTCTCAGGTTGTGCTCGTCACCAGTGGGAGCTGTGACCAACAGGTGAGTTATGTCGTGCCCTTTCGCTTTGTATTGTGCCTTTTCAAAGTAGCTTGGCAGAGGTGTCCGTTCCTTGTGTCCCTTCGGTTACGCTTTTTCAAAATGCTTTGCTTTTAGGACTTTGTAGAATGTCTCAGTCGGACCTGACTCTTTATTTTTTGCACGCGGCTCAAATATTCCAACGCTGGGAGGCCTGTTTTTGCACAGGGCCCGAATGTCGACTTGTGGGGCTCAAATTTGACAATTGTGGCCTGTAGCTGCTCCTTTGTGATCAACCAATTGTTAGGCACTGTTTGAGGGTGTAACACCCATTGTTAGGCACTGTTTGAGGGTGTAGCACCCATTGTTAGGCACTGTTTCAGGGTGTAGCACCGATTGTTAGGCACTGTTAGAGGGTGAA